TCACCATCCTAGGAGTCACGCTCTGTGTAGCTGGTTTGTGAACAAGACGCAGTGAGAAGCAGAGAACCTGTTCAAAGGTAACCCCCGTGGCTGAATCACAGAATCACTAAGGTTGGAAAGGACCTTCAAGATCATCAAGTCCAACCATTAATCCAGCACCACCACTGCGGGGGTGGGGCGCTTCTGGCTCAGCAGCAGACTGTTTGGCTCAGCTGGACCTAGGAAGCTGTATTTTGACACACGGATGTCAAAAAACATGAAAATGTGGACTGTATTCCCATAGCACCAGGGTGGAACAAGGCACGTTGCAAGGACATCCTATTAAATGTCTTGAGTTAAGGAATGTTTTGTCTGTGGGTGGTTCAAGGCAGGGGTGATGGAATTGTCTTGTTCAGCACTGGAGGGATAATAAATGGTTAATGAATCGTTCAAAGGGAGCTCCTGGGGCCAAGTGGTTTTCTGTAGAAGGAATCTATTTAGGAACTCTCCCTTTTGTGGCCAAGCACGTGAAAGTGGCTTCCTCCACTGCGCTGAGCTGCAGCATACCAGGTCACACTGCACAGCCCCTTACACTGAGGTTACCACACGGCTTTTCTCCACTGCAGTCTTGTAGAGTGCCTGTCATCTGTAAAATAACAACAGTGCAGTTTGTCCCTAGGGAAGGAAGGGTGTTTTTCTTTTCAGTGAAATGATCAGTCCAGAATACCAGGTAGATCACAGCAAGAAAAAAAAATCTTTGTTACCCTTGTAATTAATCAGAAACACTAGGAGGGAAGTAGAAGCAGCCTTGCACAAAGAGGGTTAATACAAGAGCTGTTTATTACTATGACTTTTCCTAAGTCAGGCAGATGCTCTTAAAACAAGTTAACAGAAACAAAATGTATATGGTTTTGGGAACTATATTTTGGGAACAGCTTGATTGCTGCAAACATTATCCAAGCATTCCAAATCAGAGGGACAATGATGTGATGAAATCTCTTTATAAGAAGTATCTGAAATAGAATAAACTTCCTGTCAGACATTTTGTTATAGTGGCGTGTGTTCTATTTGGTAATTCTTCCTTCCCCGGTTCAGATACAAACCAGTTTAATTAGAGTTCAGAAAACCAGCTGCCACATCATCACACCATAGAATTGAGGAAAGGAGAAGGATTTTCATTATTTGATGAAATTGTGCATCTGATTCATTGCTCACTGGTAGTCTGCTTCTCAATCCCAGATAATTAGGGTGCCTGAATTTAGAAGAGTTTGTTGATTCATCTAAAAGCTCGGACAGTTCATGGTGTTACAGAAATCTAGGATTCACATGCTTTTGTTATCTGCAGCCATGCAGATAGCCGTGTACCTAACTTGTCCCTCTTCTCCCATCAAAGTCCCTTTGTGAACTCTTCAGAGCTCTTTGCTGCCAAAGGAAATATCGTTCAGTGCTTTTCATCCTCAGAGTCACTGGCATCCCTTTTTCTTGCCACAGTCGTCTGTGACTTGTCTGCAGTCCGTGCCTTTTTGCGGTGAGAAAGAAATACAGTTATTAATGTAGCACTTTGCTATTATAGAAAGATTCTGGGACTAAACTCCTGGATTCTGCTTCCAGTCTTACCATGGTGCTGGTTTGCAAACATGGGCCTCTATGTTAAATTCAAAGGTAGTTTATTTAATGCCTAATGATTCTCTCCCATCGCAGAGGGGAGCTGTGACACTCAAATAATAATGACTGTATAGCAGTGTGATCTTGCAGCGGGGTGAAAGGCCGATGGAAAGCAGTTGCAGAGTGCCCACCCCACTAAGAAATGCCGGCCCAGCCTCTAAAGCAACCACAGCACACCAGGCTCCCCATTGAGCCATAAAGTCATGAACCATTAGCTAATTCTTTACTAGGGCTTTCTCAAATTTAAGTTCAAAAGAGTTCTTTGAAGTTCTAATTTAATGCAAAGAGACTATATAGGCAGAACTGTGACTGACCTACAACATAATGCATGTCAGCCCATTACATGAATTCTAAATGTCCTTATGAAAAGTTGAAAACGTTTATACGCCACAAACAATAAGCATGTTGCAGACAGTTTTCATACAGAATTTTGTTTTAAAAAGAACTTTTTTTCCCTTTCAGAAAAAGGGTTTAAACTTGCTACTATCTAATAAATGTGTTCGGTCATTTTATGAATTACTTGTTCTGTGCCAGCTTCTAAACTTCACCTGGCTACAGGCAAGTTCTGCTTAACAAGTTATGTTTGGGGTACTGAATTTTAGCGTAAGAAAACTGAACACAGCCAGGAAGGTTCTTACACACTTCATAGAACCATTAAGTGAAATAAATACCTTACTGTGGTACATCGTTTTGGCTTTTGGTGTAAGTTCTTCTGCAACTTTCTGGAACAGGAGTAAGTATAGAAGTAGTACACACAAAAACATACAGGGAATCCTTTGATATCCTTACTGCAGTGGGTAGCTGTAACTCTCGCATTCCAGAAGGGAAGTGTTCATTACCCAGATGACAATCTCTCTTTTCCAAAAATTTAATGCTTTCTAAAAATGCAAAGCCCTGCAGTTATGCACTGTCCTCTGGTTTCTGGAGTTCCCCCTGGTCGTTACCTTCATCTTTACACATTGCAGAGAGAAGCACAGTGCTTTGAAAACCTAATGAATAGGACTTAAAACAAATGAGAAAACTGAAGGACTTCCTCAAGCAATTGCTATAAACTGCTGATTGATGTGTTCTCACAGGCTGTCTCTGAAGGGTTGGCTTTTGGAATCAGCCTCTCTGCTGTGCAAAACATGCAGCACTGATAGATTTTAGCGGAACCATGAGTACTTCCCTGCAGCAGTGAGACTCCTAACTGGACAGAACATTGTTTCTCATACCTGATCAATGGGTACATCCACCCTTGTGTGTTCATCATCTTTTACATCTTGGGTACCTTGCATCTCCTTCCTAGGATCTGTGGTTTTATATGCTCTTTCTTCTGCAAGGAGAAGAAAAGAAAAAAAGCTGTTCAGTGGGTATTGCAGACAGCTGTGGCCTGGTCTTGCTGAGGCTACAGAAGGGTCCTCATATGTGCCCAGATGAGGAGAGGACAGAAACAGAAATACCCAAGTTACAGGATGCATCACTGCTTGCTTTCAGTGCATCTGCAGGCATTTTGTCCTTTAGCATCACGGTAAAGCCAGTCTTCCTCTACACTTATAGCAGTCCTTTACCTTGATTAGGCCAGTGGTTTACATTCCTGTTGCTCCTCCTGTTTTGCCCTGCACGGACAGGTTTAGCATGGAAAATGGACTCTTCCTCTTTGAGGCAAGATTTCCTGGCTTGCCTTTGCAATTGTGGAAAAGCAGCTGGGATCTTGTCTTTCTCTGCAGCTCCTGTGGTCTGCACCCTGCGACTGTCCAGCTGAAAGTATTCATCACACACTTCTGATAGAACTTCTTGATAAAACAGTTTATAAAACAAGAGAAGTTTTGCAGGGCAATCCCCTAAACACTGCAGCTTTCCCCTGTGACCCTTGATCCTGACTGGTACAAAGCTGTAACACTGCATTCTCTGACTGGGGTTTTAAGTTGATAACTACAAGTGAAACAGATACAGAGAATGCATAAAACACTTTCCGCTGTTTTATGTCAGTCACTCACTACCTGTTGAGGTGCTTGAGCAAGAGCAGAGTCACCAGCACTGACTTGGGAGGTGGCATAGAGTTCAACAAACTGAAAACAACCAAAAAAAGGAAAAGAAAGTTTTAAAAGCAAAACTGCACTTTCAAAATAGCACAAATGCACTATGGAAAGATATCCTAGCTCCAGAATGAATTCTCCGTGCCCATCAGCCAAAAAGGAGAAGAGGTAAGTGAGGCCACCTTAAGGAGTTTTTCTTCAGGCAGTGAGATTTAATTCAAGTGTGACCTGGTCACACAGCTGTCTCTAGCTCCTCTCCTTTGGGAATTGTCCCAAGCAAGGATGCCATAGCCGTGGCAATTGGGAATGGGGATTGCTATGCACATCCACTGCTTATGGAGGGACGCCTGCACAAAAGCAACTGCGATCGTAGCACAAACAGTCCCACACCAGCTGAGCCACCTACCCTTTTGCGGTGTTTTTTGCGCATGCCATTTGCGCGGTTCCTGTAACAAAGAAGCAGCAGATTCTCAGCGTTAGGCAGAAGTCGGCTGTAGGAGGACATGATCTCCCTTCTTCCCATGAGAGGGCCCCTGGAGGTGTTTTTTCTCAGCGCAGGTAGCGCACACTCCACAGCGGCACACATTCCTGTTATGTCATACTGCCCACCACAGGCTTGTGAAATTCAATGCCTGGCCTAATGCTCAGGTGCTCTGCAGTGCTTGATGAACACTTAACAGAGAAACACCTAAACTACTTGGTTTCTCTGGCACTGAACTCTGGATTTCGGGGCCTAACCCTTACATTGAAAGCTTTGAAAACACATTCTTTCTTCCTAAACTTCCAACACATGAAGCAAGACTCAGGCCTCGAGGCAGGCAGAACTATCAGGAGGACTACAGAAAGGATGGCTTTAGCTGAAGACCACCACAAAGATGACTCTTTAAACCACTTGGCCACAGCTTACATACCACAGCGTCTTGTACGCAGAAACCTGGGGCACCAGCAGCTCAAAGTAAGGCAGTTTTCTGTACTCCTCGTTTCCCACTGCCACATAGTAATCGCCATTCACCAGCTCTTCCCCACCAGACACCTGGGTTCCATCCAGCCTGCAGAGCCTCAACGAAGAGAGAGCAAAAGCTTTAGAGCTGTCACGAGACTGTGAACAACCCGTCAGTGTGGAAGCAAACATGCACAAAGTGGTAAACAGGACAGAGACAAGTCAGAGAGGATCAATCATTCTTAGTATTACTTCAAGGAAATATGCTGAAATATTACACCCAGTGATCAGTGAGATGCAGTAAATCTCAGCTTTCTTCTTGAGTGTCAGTAAATAGATGTATGAGGAGAAAGTAGTCTGTATTTGTTGGATCAAAGCCCCCGTCTCTAGACATAAACCTCTTTTTATGCTACTATTATTATTATTATTATTATTATTATTTATTGCTTTTTCACCAGACCACCAGCAACATCAGTGCTCCTCACAAAGCACCCAGCACATTGGGGTTATCTCTGATTTAAAGATGGGAAAACCTGAAAAGCAAATGGGATTGAAAAAGCAGACTAGAAGTGGCAGTTTGAACTCCCAGTCCTCTGTGCTAATCAGAGCTGCTTATGTTCTGGACATAAGGAAAGGGGAGCCAGTAGTGCCTTGTCTGGATACCCACTTGTGAACAGCTCCACTGCGCAGGTCGGCTTTCTTTGTCAGCATGGCCAGGAACACGTCCCACTGCAATGAAGTGCTCTTGGAGAGTGGCAGTGGGAAAGGAGGGCTCAGCAAATCCCCATTCCGGAAAACACTGCAGCAGAAACAACCCAGAGCGTGTGATGAGCCGGTATTCCTGCAGCTGTGGAAGATGCAGAAAAAGAGGCAGCCACTGGTGGCTGAAAAATATTTACAGTAAATACTTCTGTTCGAAGCTGGGAATTGTCCCTGTAGGGCAGCATTCCCAGGATCTCACAGAGAAATTCCCTCCTCCAGCATCCAAAAACATTCCCAGAGAACCTCAGAGGAGAAAACACCAAGGCACTTACTGTATCGTGCAGGGCAGGTGGGCATGCTTCTGCCATCGCGCCAAGACGTTCGACTTCCACGGAGCTACAGCGCGGAACTAGAGACAGAGTTCAGTGCACAAGAACAGTGACAGCCCTGGCACCAGCCCTGGAGCCTTTTCTCCATCAGGAGCTGCCTGCCCTGGGACGCTACCTGCCCTGCCTTCACGCTTGCTGCTGCTAGGTGGGGTTTGTTGTCAGCAACACCAAGGCTGGAGAGGCTTTGCACATGCTGAGCACATTCCAGAATTGCCAGCAAACCTCTCAGCACAAATCCTTCCCCTGCACTGTTAAGGGGGATGAAGGTACCCAGCAGCAGCCCCTGCACTGTCTCACACGTCCTGCTGATTCCTGTGGCACTTTTGCCTAATCTCCACTGGGCACTTTGCAGCATTAAATCTCAACTTTTTAGTTTCATCAGTGCCAGCCCTAACATCTCTCCCCACTCATTCTGCGCTCCCGCCTGCACCGGCTCAGCGCAGGGACTCACCTGCAGACCCTTGCTGTTCCTCGTCCCACGGAGCTCCTTCCTTCCATGATTTGAATAGCTGTGAGAACAAGACAATGACGTTGCCACATACCAGCTGGGCCATGGCTGACTAAAGAGCAGTGAGAAAACAACCAACTGCTCTGCCTTCGTGCGTTGCCACCAAATATTTGGGTCACTTCTGAAATGATTCTCCAGGTGCCTCACCTCATGGTCTCCCAGAACTTCAGTCTAAATTAAAGTCTGATACATTTAAGAAATTCCCAGTCAAATACAGACCATTTCAGATCTAAAGACATGCAGAAGATTTTATTCCTTTGTGTTACTCGCTGATCAAGGGCTGATGGGTGTCAATGCAGCCTGGACCACCTCCTCAACAAAATGCAACACACACCAGGGAGCCAAATTCAGCTCACACATACATCCCCTTCAAGGGTCAAGTGATGCCACAAAAGCTTCATTTTACCTACTCTGTATTTCAGGATGAACCAAAACAGCTCTACTTTGTGCAGGATTAGAAAACAAAAACCCTTCATCACACCAAAGCAAAAGTATTTGTCAGTGGAGACACTGTGACTGCCTGCTCTGCCAAGGAAGCTGGCAGCAGAACCTCCCACACGCCACAAAAACAAGGTGCACGGGAGGCAGAGCAGCAACAATCACAACAGATAGGTGAGAAGAGAACGTATGCTTCCCCCAACGGGTTTTCTTCTGAGAGTCAAGTGACCTTATCAGGAATATTTGCATTTTCCATACAATCTGGAAAATGTCCAGTAGTTTACAGTAGGAAAATAAATTAATGTCTCCTTCTTTTTTTGTTGGGTTTCTAACAACTCTCTTTCTCTTACCTCTTTTTTCACACGCCAATACATTCCCCATAGAGGTGATCTAGGTGATCTAAAGCTGCTTACCAAACCCAGAGACCAAAGGTCCGTCTACTCACTTGAGCTTTTTGAACTTTTCAAAGCCCGCAGCCACGTACTGGCACCCATCCTGCAGGTCTCCCAGCTCAGCGATGCGGTGGCCATGCCTGGGTGTGTAGAGGTTCCTCACAGCCAAGGGCGCGCAAATGCTCTTGGTCACCTCATTCAGAAATGCTTCAAAGGTCAGGAACCGCCGCTGGTTCACTACAAACTTCCTCCCGGGGAAGAAGGGGTCACCGTTGCGATACACCACCACATTCTTGGCTGGAGGTGCCAGAGCTAAGCCACGGGAGCTCATCCCTCATGGGTCAAGCCAGTCACACTGACCACGGAGGCAGAGACCAACACGGGGAGTGGCGGAGAGCTCCAGCCAGCCTCCCACTGAGCCCAAACCCTTCTGACCAGCCGCTCTTACGCTCTACTGTCCCTTCCCAGCACAGTCTGGCACAACTGACCGTCTCCATGGACGCAGGTCCAGCAGGAGGAAGTTGTGGGCCTGTCTGGAGGCCACATGAGAAACAAACCTGCAGAGCACTTTTCTATTTGAGATCCAGGAACCACACAGCTCTTCCGTCCTCAAACACCAAGTACTGCGACCTCCCTCACCAGCCACTGCGGCCACCAGGCTCAGGTTAACAAGCTTGGAAGTAAAATAAGTGCCAGTATCTTTATGGCAGCAGCTCACATCCCACCCAGAGCAGCACTATCCAGAAGCTGTCACCTCTTTGCTACCTGCATGAGAAGTACAACAGGTTTCTGTCCTGTGTGTATTGCACAAACATCCTCACCCTAGCAGACACACCACCCTTCACGCTAAACAGGTTGCCAATGGGCCAAAACGGGCCATGGACTCACTTGGCTCTGCCCAGGAGAGGAAGGCAGGCCAGACAGGAATAGACAGATTCAGAGACAAGCTTCAGGAAAGCTTTTTATTCACAATCAAGTCAGCATCATTCAGGAGCAGAAGGATACATCTGCCATGAGGCAAGAGTGACTATTCAGGCAGCAGGAACACAGTGTTTGCACAGAAGACTTGGGGTCACAATAGGAAACCACAGCACCACGTGGAAAGTCCCCTTCTGAAGAACCTTGAATGCCCCTGAACTAGAGCAATGTATAGCCAAAGCACCAAACCCTGGACGTCATTATTTGCTCCCTCAAGTCCAGGCGACTCTGCCACAGAGAGGTATCACCATGGCCAGCAAGTCAAGAAGCAAGCCTCATCTCCTGAAGGTCGGGTTTGATGTGCCATCGCTCCCCACCAACTGCACAGGGAAGTTAGAAAACTCTCCTAACTTACTACTTCATCTAGGTGTTCCCCAAAGCCTACCACAAGTGCTTGGGAGATCCCAGATGTTACAGAGCTGTGACATGCAGAGCCATCCCAAATATACAGCCCAGATACTGATATGGGTCGCACACAGTTCAGCGGAGAAGAGCTTGTTCCTGCAGGTTCAAAGCACCCGCTGCCTTCAGGCATTTTAGTTCCAGCACAAGCAATCAGCTGGTCAAAGTGCCTTCTGTAAGCAACAGGTCCTCCCAGCCTCAATTTTCCCCTAGGACCATCCAGCTCAGCCAACAGAAATAGGGTTCTTGTGGAGGAAGGCCTCACTGCGACTCCCTCCAGGACACACAACCACCTCCTTGGCTTCACAGTGACATTTAATTTCACCAAATATTCACATTTAAAAGAAATGAAAGGCTTTCTTGCCACATTCATCTGAAGTGGAAAATATCAACCCATAGAGCTGGAGTTCCCCTAAGCTGCTGCTGTCCATGAGGTCATGTCATGACTGCAGTGCTGCAGCTCCACTGCTTCTCCACACCAATACAAGTACCCCACATGCTCAGGCATGCCC